CATCGTCAGCCCAAAGAGCAATCAGGGTTCCCTGCCCTGTGGGAAGTCCAAGGACCAGGTCTAGTAAGGTGAGCATCCAAACTGCCTAGGCTCCCACAAAGCCAATAAGTGCAGTAAGATCAAAAACCCATATCAGATGATTATTTCTTTAAATAAAGGGGGTATTAAAATCACTTTGAAAGTATTTTCAGTACTGTTTATTTTATGCAAGATTATTCTGACGTAACATTTTCTAATAATTACATCTTTAAATGTTCAGTCATTTCTCTATACACTTCAATTACTTCAAATAAACTTAATAACATGCTATTTATTTTATAAATTTATTAGCTATTAAATGCAATTGCTAGATTTATGTGCATGCATGTTTATCAACTATCCTAGACTACCCATTTAAGGCAATCAGTCTTTACTCCTTGTTAAATTTAAATTTATTATAAAAGTTCAGCAGATTGTTCTGTACGCCTGCACATGTGTATATAACAATGATAATTAAAGAGGAAGTCATGGATTCAAGAAAGAGTGGAGTGAGTGGGACAGGCTTGGGGGAAAGAGAGAGAGATGGAAATGATTTAAATATGGTACTCATGTGTGAAATTCTCAAAACTAAAAAAAATTTAACTTACAAAAATTAATACAACTTTCTTTTGTGTTATATAGTGTAAGAATCTTTGATGTAAGCTTTAAACATTTCATAGTGTTACTTTTGTGAAAACTAAATTTAATTTGTAAAATTTTTCTTTTGTTTATAGACATTTTTTTACTTCACAAAGTTATTGTGCTAACAAAAATATTTTGTCAAAAGTGGATTGTCTTTCAAAACTCTATTTATTTGTTTATTTATTTATTTTTACCACAGTACATGAGTTCATTGCTCAAGGGGAAAAACAGATTACAAATTAAAACCACAAAATGGGCTCCAGTGTTCCAAACCCCACCCATGGCTGCATCAGAATGTGTACCTTTCAGTGAACAGCTGCATGGCACAGGCCCTGGCACCATTCAGCTGCCGAGATGAGCAATGAAAGAGTCACCTATGCAGAACTGAATGTGTCGAAGCATTCAAGGAACCAGAAAAGGCAACCAAGGGGCACCCGCAGCTCCATCTCAGTAACTGAGCAAGAAATCACCTATGTGGAATTGGGCTTTCAAAATACTTCTCCAGAGCATCCCTCAGTCTGCAGGGACTGCTGCTGCAAAGGTGAGACACTGAATGGACCCT